GAACTATTTTCTGAACTTATGTTGTAGCCTTTGATTGTCATTAGTTTCTTTTTCATGATTATGGCCAGGGTTTCTGTGAAATTGAGAAGGTTTTGAAGATGAAATTAGTGTGCACACACTTTAATTCAGTCACACAACTATATACCCGTGTCTGGTTGTGTAGGCATACAACCTGTTTACGTACTTTTGGAAGCAATCTTGTTCGATTTGACCATCAATTTATTTTATTTTTTTGTATCAGGCGTGTAGTCCATCACTTCATGGAGAATTACTATGACAAATATGTATGCAAAGAGTGCCAAGGGAGTGAATACAAGTGTTTGCATCACAGTTAGATGTATACATTTCTTCTCTTTGGATATTACTGTGCTTCTCTTCCAGTTCGCATTTTGAAGAATAGAAGGCCTAGACAGTCATGAATCATTTAGTGAAAAATACCTCTCAATAGCTCAGAAGGACTGTCTAATTTAGTTAGAACTATTGGACTACCCTTGATGTACTAGTTCTACAGGTTACAAATCAACCTCATGCCAAACCCCAAATAGTTACCCACCTCCTCTCTGTGATTTGCTTTATTTCTGCATTGTATGACATATATTTTACTCCAGTATTGGAATCTTGTTTTCAAAATTATGAATCCGTTAAATTGTGGTTTGAATATTGGCTTTTGGAGTAGATACTTTAATGCCTTATATTATATTGCATATCTAATGTTTTTGAAATCTATGTTTTTCATTCCTTCTCATGCAATCAGCCTCAGTTTTTTATAAGCACAACATAGTCTTTATTTTGAACTCAGAAATAGGTTTAGGAAAACTAGAATGTTCGGTTCTTTTGGAATAGTAAATAGCTTAAGGAAAGACTTTGAGATTCGCTACAATGTTAATGATGCCTGTTCTTAAATAAAGGGATTGATGTTGGCTCTTAGTTGTTTCATGTTTTTTCCAAGCATCTGTCTTGTTTGAGAAGTGGAATAGGCTTATATTGTGATTGCAGATGATCACGAGCCATAAAACAAATGTATTTTTCTATTTGGAATTTACATGCACTATCTTTATCCATCATCGAGTCAGATAGGATACTCATGCTTGTGACCATATCCTAGATTTTCTAAAAGTCTCTTTCATGTATCTCTTGCTTTATCTGTGCGTCTTAGTTTTATATTTTTTTACTTTAGTTTTTGATAGAGCAGAGTGGCAGACTAGGATTTGTGTAGTCGACCCCATATAGTTGGAAAAAGACTCAGATGATGATGAGGATGATATTTTTTATTATTTTTAATACGAAATTTCATTTCAAGAGGCATTTTCCTTATGAGTAGTTGGACTCTATTTACATGATTGTACTCTCAAATTTGTATGGTTTCAATTATCGAGACGTAATATGCTTTATACATTTGCTTTATACTCAATATAAACATAAACAGTCTCAAAAAAATAAAAATAAAGGGTTTATTGAATGCAGGTACATCTTATATACTAATGACATAGATATCCCATAGTGTATAGTATTTGTGATTCCTCGCTTACCTTAATCACCCATTCAGCGGCTCATAAGTACTTTGTTAGCAACCATGCTTTTCACTTGCAAGGTTCGCAGCGATTGTTTCTGTGACTACCTTTGCATTAAGTGGCCACAAGTGTTATTTAAAGAATTGATGCATTGCTGGTTGTTAATGTGATTTGTTGCAAGATTGTTGTAGTAAATTTGTGTGGATAAAGTGGCATCAAGTCCTATGACTTTCAAAATGTGAGTGTCCAAATGATCTGTATGCTTATATTGAGCCGTTTTTTGTCAGTTATTCAGCTTTGTTGTTGGTCTAGCAACAACTTCATTTGTTGGCTTTTCCATGTTGTGAGCTTTCCTCTGATGCATGTATTACCCTATACTAGATCCCTGATGACAGACGTTGGGCCCAGTATTCCAAGTGTGCCCCAACATGCAAGGACCTACTTTGAGCACTTAGGATGCCTCTCTAATTTATTTTAGGGTTCTGTGGACTGTATTGAGTTGCAATTCTGAGGCTGTGCATGTGGTTGCTTATAGTTAGGCTTGGTAGTTGTGGGTTATAGGCACTTCAGACTAAATTCTATTGGTCTGCATGTTCTTCATGTAGCTCTTTAGTACTAGGACCTGATTTATTAAAATTGAAGTTTTACGAGGTTTTGTCACTATTTGTTAGTAAATCAGTGTTATCGTCCTTTACCCAATGTAACTCGCCTTTGTTCAAAAGTAAGAAGGACAAAAAAAAAATTCCTTTGTTCAATGTAGATATCTCTTCGTGACCTGACCATTTCTAGAGATCTTGTCTTAAGGGGGGTGGGGGGGTGATTCAAGGGCTGAGGTTGGGGGTCATTAAGATAAATGACCCCACTGTCGAATTGGCTGGAGAGAAAGGATAAGGGTGGGCGTTAGAGACGGACAGAGGGTGACATGATGGATGCTGGTCGAGGGTTAAGTGGACAGATGAAGAAAGAGGTTGGGCTGAAGTGACTGTAGAGGCAGGAGATGGAAGGGATGTATGGGTTAATGGAGGAAGCGAAGGGGCGACCTTGGAAGGACCAGCATCATAGGAGATCTTGGTAGGGGCTAGGGGTCACAGAAGGTGGGTGTAGTTCGCGTAGAGTGGCAGGAGGTTGGGAGGACGAGGATGACCCCAGACGGAGCCATTACTTACACATCGCTATGCTCTTTTGTTGAAACCCAATCACCTTTCTTTCTATTGTAAAACTCAAAATCAGCTTCAGCATGCTCCTTATTCTTCTTCAAGCCCTGGCTGATCTACATCATGGACCTTCAGGGAGGCGAGACGTGAAGTCAATGACCCTGCAGAGGTATTCATCGAGGTTTGATTCGAGAGAACTAGTGTTTTTGCTTCTGGAGTTTACAGAGAGAGTGTGAGAGTGAGTTCTTCCTTCAAGAATGATGGAGCTTCTTTTTCTGGGGATAGAGAAACCAAGAAGGAAGGGTTTCCATTACTTCACAGGATTGAAGAGAGAGAGAGAGAATGGAAGGGTCTAGGAAAGAGTAAGCATGGAAGAGATGTGAGGAAAATTTTGAGGAGACCCAAACAGTCGTTGAGAATCATAAAATCAAATGGCAAGATTTCTCAATTTAGGGCGAAGAAAGTTGTAAGTGTTTTGGACGAAAATAATTTTAAATCATGCATCCAAACTGGCCCTAAGTTGTTTCGTGATCTGAACAGTCTTCCTAGGGGGTCTGCAACAGGCTCTGGGCTTTATCATTGTCAATGGCAGTGCATCCAAGGATTAAAAAAATTTCCGTGATAACAGTTGTTGCTTATATGTTATATAGACCATTGTAATGGTCCATATATCACATTTGTTACGTGGTAGAGAGTACAAAGAACAGTGGTAAATCGTGGCCTTTACCACTAAAGCGACATTTTAATTCTTAAAACCTTGGATGTGACCATCCTACTGAACTCACACTCTCTGCTCATAAACCATTAGAGGGCATCTTCGGGTAGGACTCGAGGGCATCTACTGGCAGGTTTTAGACGCTCAACAGACTTTGGAAGTTCCTCTTACAAATGCAGCTTTTGATGATACAATTTGACTTTAACAGCTATTATTGTAGGGTTTAATGGATTGTCTTTAAATATTTTGTACCAGCAGCTGGGTCTCTTTAATTGACTAACTCTTTTTACAGTAGGCTTAAGTAATTTCTTCTGTACAATGACTACATCATTAGAAAACGTCAACTTTGGATTTATTCTTCTTGTGATAAGATGGGCTTTCCCTTACTAGTGATCTTTCTTAGTGTTACATATGATTATGTCTTCTCAATTGATAATCTACTGTTACTGAGCACATAATTGTTCCTTGCTATCTTTCCAAAAGGCACGGCAGTAGAGTACCATATTAACTTATCTATAACCATCTTAGACTTATACAGATATTATATATTCATAATTCTTATGTGCCATCTTTAGGTAAATGCTTGTCATCTTTAATTAAAATGGAGATTGCACTTTCAGTTCCGTCCGTACTAGACTGATTCTGATTGATACCTTGCCTCTTTGGAACAGTTGACAGGAGATATACATGAGGAGGTTGAAAGTCATAATCGTGCATTGGATCGTATGGTATGCAAGCTTGTTGTCCTAGATTGATTTCCTTTTTTTTTGTGGCAGATGATCTAAAAGCTGTAAATGAGACTTCGGCTTTGCATTTTCTTCGATATAATACAGGGGAATGACATGGACACATCACGAGGAGTCTTATCTGGAACTATGGATAGATTTAAGATGGTAAATGAATAATGCTGCCTCTTATCCTCTCTTTTGACTTTGTGAAAGTATACTGCAACTCCATGGACTTCAGAAAAGCATGGTCCATCCGACCTTTTCTGTCCATTGACAAAATGGTGATGGTGACAGAGAGTATGTGGGCAGGATTACCATTCAGGTGATCCTGTTTTGATGGGTCCACACTGTCACCATGTATCATTTCAATGAGTGCCGATTACCCCTATAGACCTGGTTTTTTCATAGCCCACTGGAACTGAATTTATTGTTGACTTTCCCTTTCAGAATAAGTGAAAATGTTTTCTACGAAGTAAGATTTGTGAAATGTTAATGAAGTTTCAACATTTGCAGGTATTTGAGACTAAGTCAAGCAGGAGAATGGCTACATTGGTGGCATCGTTTGTGGCACTGTTCTTACTCATCTATTACCTCACCAAGTAGTGGAGTGACCATGGTTAAGTTCAGAATGAATGGTGACTTGACTGCTCTATTACTTAAGATCTGTTACATCTATAACAAGCAGTTCATGCAAAAATACTGAACAATGTTATTCCTTTTGTATGATGTTTACATTGTTTCTCTAGATTTTATTCTCCTAGAAGAATCACATCCTATAGAGTCCAGTTCTGTCCCTTGATTTTCTGCTTTATGGCCTCTTTAATGTTGGGAAAGTTCCTGGGTAAGTTCTTTGCATAATTTCCTGACTGTTTACATTCTCGTAGTTGATTATTCACCAATAATCCTGACAAGAACATGATCCCTGCTTAAAGTGGTGGAAACGCCTCCTATCCCTCACTATAATTTCGTGATTGTAAGCCTCTGAAATTAATTTGATGAACACATGACAGTCTCCACACATGCGAAGGTTCTTAACAATTCGAATGGGGATCATTGGACTCAAACTAAGAAGCCCAAAAGCAATTGCGAGCTTCTCACTATGCAACCCAACAGCATGTTCCTTTTCCTCCTCATCTATATCATACAACACTTGTGATGTATCAGGTTTATGCCCACTTCGCCTCACCTCTTTGTGCATCTCATCAAGCATGCTCTTGATTTCTTCGATTTGCGGGTGCAACTTTTCCCCAACCACAAACTCATGTACTACATTATCCACTTCGAGCAAACTACAACCTGGCATTTTCTTAATATTTCCATCTGCCATCAAATCTCTCACCCTTTTGGCCTCCTCCCACTTACCAGCAGATGCATAAATATTAGATATTAGAGGATACATTGCTTCGTGGCTTGGCTTTGATTCAAGAATATGGTCAATCACCCTCTCTCCTAGCTTGACATTTCTATGGGTTTTACAAGCAGCAAGAAGAGCCCCCCACACTATGACATTAGGTGAAATCCTCATGGTTTTTACAAGCTCATAGGCCTCCTCCAATAGGCCTGCTCGGCCTAAGAGATCAACCATGCAACCATAGTGTTGGATCCAGGGCTTCAAACAATATTCTTCTTCCATACTGCGAAAGTGACTTAAACCTTCGTTCACCAACCCTGCATGACTACATGCACTCAACACCCCTGTAAAGGTGATTTCATTGGGTATCAAGCATGTCATTGCTTTCATTTTCTCAAACAAATCAAGGGCTTCTTTGCCGAGCCCATGCATGGCTTGGCCACATATCATCGCGCTCCATGTGAGCACGTTTCTTCGGGGCATCCTCTCAAACACTTGGAGAGCCGAACTCAAGCATCCACACTTGGCATACATGTCAACTAGAGCTGTCCCCAAGGCTACAATAGGAGGATCAAAGCCAATCCTTCTGGATAAGGCATGCACCCATCTTCCTAAAGCTAGTGCACCCAAATGTGTGCATGCGGTAAGCACATTAACCATGCTTACCTCATCCGGCTTCAACCCAGATAGTTGCATCTCTCTGAAGAGCCGTACCGCTTGTTTCGGGTGGCCGCTCTGTGTATAAGCAGAGATCACAGCTGACCAAGAGACGAGGTTTTTATGAGGCATCAAATCAAAGAGGGCCCTTGCTTGGTGGGGAGCATGCGATTTTGCACAAGCAGAGATCATGGTGTTCCAAGTGACCGTGTTTTTGTGTGGTAGTTCGTCAAATAAACGTAGAGCTTCTTGGAAGAGGTTGGAAGCTCCATAGAGGTGGAGGAGGCAAGTGGCGACGTATACGTGGGTATGGAGGCCAAGAGTGAGAAGGTGGGCGTGGATTTGGCGCCCAACAGGCACGAGAGAGAGAGAGGTGCACGCCTTGATCGCGTGGAGGGAAGTGAAGCTGTCAGGCATGGTGCCCTGGCGGTGCATGACGGCATATATGCGCAGGGCTTCTTCGGGTGCGGGTTGACTGGAGCCATGTGTGCCCAGTGGTTGAAGCATGGTCTGTCTGTGGTCAGCTTCTTAAATTCAGATCTTGGAAGTAGATGTAGAGCTTAGCGTTGTTTTGGTGCTCACCATCTATTTTACCAGGTTGGGTTTTTGTGGCCTATAGACTTCCTACCTAAGATTTGGGTAAGACTTATCATAGGACTGTTTGAACTTTAAAGTTAGGGGATTAAAATGGAAAAAAGATTGTGGGGTGTCGTGGTCCTATTTTAGAAGCTGGTGCTGTTGGGGATAAATGGGGAAGAATAAGTTGCAATGTTGGCTTTGGAGATGTTCCAAGGGAGGGAAGAATAATTCTCGCTTTGTTTTCATAACGGAAGGAAGTGAACCCAACAAGCGAGCGTTCAATGACTAGAATGCATGGCGTCCAGAAGCTGCTGCTTTCAGATACTATATCACTTCCAGTGTTTTGTTAATGGGAGGTGGTATGCCGTTTTAAAAGCCGCGGCTTCCTAAACAGCATAAAAATGCATTGAAATGGGTAAGCTATAACTTCCGTACTAACCTCATTCAAGCTGTAGCTACCAAAGTTGGTAGAAGAGGTGGCCACTTTCACCAATCAAACACGCCCTAAAATTTTTGGGTTCAGGTTTAATTTTTTTTTTTTTTGGGTAATTCAGTGGGGAAGATAGCCCTACCCGTTTTTTCAAATAAATTAAGAGTTCGTTTTTTTTTTCAAATAAAGTAGGAGTTGGTTTTTTGGAGGCGGAAGTGGAATTGGGAACCAAACCTTCGGTTTAGAAATGTCTAAGAAACTTTTGTACCTATGGCAGACCTGTCGGTCGTTGTTGGCAGACAGAACCCCTAGCGTTTACAACTTGGGCATGCTATTTTTGTGCAACAACATAAAAAACTTAAAAAAAATAAATAATACAAAGTAAAATTGTATTACAAAGTAAAATTGTTGAACCTCATAGATTGGCAATGTAACTGTCCTGATCAGTTGTGATATTCACTTTGCACCGAAATTGTTCTCTCCAATTTGACAAATAAATCATGTCCAATCAGTCAATCTCTTTAGGCTCACAAATAAAAGGTATATGTCAACATTGTTTAGTACTACTACATAACTCACTTGTTAAGAGGTGCGAGCTAATTCAAGTAGAAGGTTAAAAAAAAAAAAAATCGGTACAATAAGGCATGATTAGAAGTAATGAGGAAAAATATGAAAACTTATAACCTCACTGGTATGATCTTTGATAAAGCAAAATGACAAGATGAAGATTCATGCAGCCGACTCCAAATAGCTGAGAAAGACTTCAATGATGATGATGATGCTAAGTTCAAGTGAAAACCTGCCCTAAGGCTTGTATTCATTTTCTTTTCTTCACAAGGCCAAGCTTGAATCAAGGTTACCACCCTCAAACGTGCCTCATTCACAACTTGACACTGTGCTGTGGCATAAAAAGTCTCTCTCTCTCTCTCTCTCTCCATAGTAAAGCCATCCAGAAATCCTTCTATAAATGACTTCCATTTTCATGTCTATTGTATTTTCTCTGTCGACCAAATATTGGTTTCCAAGGAAGATAAAGAAACTCTAATTGATGCTCGCTTCCCTCGGCAGGTTCATTTCTAACTGATTCCAGTTATCAAAAGGACCATCAAATCCTGTTATGGGACACCTGACTCCTATATACTGCAATAGTAAACTCTCACAAGCACGGTTCATTAAAAAAATTTCAAACTCATGCTTTTAAAGCATCCTCTAATGGCGAATGTTATACAAGTAGAAGGATTGAAGTAGGACTTTTGAGATTGTCCCTTGAAACTAAGCAGCTTTGTAGAGATTGGGGAACTTTCATAGCAAACAACTGACATGATTTGGGATCAAAAAAATGGTTAGAAAAGGGAGCTGTAAAATGATGATAGCAAAATCCTGCCATCAAAACCCTTGTAATCAAGACATTTAGAAGATTTTTCATCAAGGAGATTGAGAGGAGTTCAATCCAAATGCATGCTTTCAATCACTTTACCCATGCCACTGCTGAATCAAAATCATCAGAAAAGGTGCAACATTGCCAAATCTATGCCCCCCACCAGTAACTGTGCTTGTCCTAATCAAACAAGCTAGATTATTATGTGCAGTAAAAATATACCTTTTTGTGCATGTAAGGTCTAGGCATTCTCTTGGTGTAGTTTCAATTTGACAAGATAATATTGAGATCCTAAAGGCAATGTAAATATCTGGTCACATAGAAAATTTGCTTAACACAACCATGCATTAGCAATCGAATTTGACAGGAGCAAACTACTCATTTTGGATCCCATAAAGGATACCAGTGTGGTTTGATTCCTTGTAAGCTCCCATTCCCAATTGATGCACTATATTGAGACCAACATACTGATGAGTGAAAATAATTTTACAATTGCCTCTGAGCATGCATAGTGGTCTTAGTATTTTATTTTAGAAAGGTAAACCTTTATTTATCTATCAAGATACGTGTTTTCTTGTTTTTATTTTGTCTACATTTATCAGATACAATAGTAATCACTCCTAGTACAAGGGTTGGCAGTAAACTATACTTCCAAACCATATTTGGTTCAAGTTGAGCGTTCTCTGAGAGTCTCATGCTGCTGCATCAGCTGGAGAAGCATGCTTTTGAACAACATAGACAGGGTCACCAACCCTAACAACTTTACCTCCTCCTGAAGGGCTTATGGATTCGTTGCAGACTAGATTCTGCCCAAAGTAAACCTGCAAAATACGGTTGTTACTGGTGATATCAGTCATAGTATAGTAAATAGCTAATTGGTTGTTCTGTTTTCAAGTTCTTCCTCACCTTCCCCTGTGATCTCTTGGTGGGGCGCAAGGCCTGGTCAGAGCGGAACTTTTTCAGAGTAGCAGTTGGTTCATTACTCACAATTCCAGTATCTTGATTGATTGTGGGCACCTGGAGAGTTTGCACATCCATGGTTCAGCTCCCTGGTTTTAATGGAGTTCCCAAAAGTGCATTCTAACTCCATAAAAGCTAAGAATTCTCAGACAGTAGCAATTATTCCAGCAAAAAAAATATTTCTATAAAGGAATATGTATATCAAATGAGTTCATGAAAGATGTAGCCCAATTGGGGTTTTCCTAAACAATGCCTTTTCACATGAAGACAGCATTATTCCTTGTAAGATCCTTCTATCATAAGACCAGGCTTGTACATTACCATTTAAGGTTTAAATTATAAGGGAAATATAAACACAAGCTGCTTATAAGTATAGAATAACGTAGCCATGAAGAGAGAGAGAGGTCTGGGATTTTTATGAACTAGAGCTTTTAATGAGGGGGAGAGCCTTGGGATTTTTGTAAACTAGAGTTTTTAATAAGGGAATGAGCAATGTGGGCATTTGATCTGATGACACAAAGTCAATAGTACAATGAATTTACCAAAAAAAAAAGGAAAAAAAGAAGAAAGAGGACTACAGTGGAACAAAAAGTTCATAGAACCAAGGATCAGAGGAAAGGTATCACGTGAATAACAATCTGAAATAGGAAAGGAGACATGAGCAACAATTCAGCTTCTGCCAATAACACAAGGAAGAATCCAAGGGTCGAACCTAGTTCAAAAGCATGAGCTAATATCGTCATTTAATTCTGAAGCACAAAATGTAGAGTCATATCACAGTCACAAAAACAAAGACAGTGAGTGGGGTTCATAGAGCCAGGTTAAGGGAAAGGGAGTAGAGAAAGAACTTGACAGATCCAATTATAAGAAATCGACTTCTATTAAAAAAGTATTGAAGGATAGAACATGTAAAACTAGTAACATTCCTTTGGTTCAAGTCTTATTTGGGACTTGTCTGCCTATACGTTGGTTTGCACCTTAGGTGCAACTTACCCTTATTCTGATCCATGAATACTCATTAAGAAAGAAAAACAAAGAAAATCCAATAGGCTCCACGGGTTATCATGTTCCAACCCTAATACCTGCTAGATAACATCTTGGATGCCTTCCGATCAGGACCAAGTAACTCACATGCCTCTTAGAAGTTTGGACAACAATGTAAAACAGAAAATGCAACTAATCCCTCACTGTAAGGCAAGAGAACAAATTGTATATAGAAAGATCAAAATGCTTTCAGATGTGGACTATTTCTATGATTAGCAAGTTAACATCATAATTCCTAATGCATTAATTTTCTTTGAAGTTTTCAAGCTGTATTAGGTAAGGAAGAAGATATGCGATATGCAAGCAAATATCTATCCATTATATTAATTGAGATTGCATATACAAGTGTTTATGTGGGCACGAGCCAATACAATAAAATTTAACCTCTTCACCTTGCAACGTGAGCATAATTTCACCCCATTGAACATCAGTTTGCTGATTTTCAATACTTTCCAGAGATCCTCTGAAAATGGTTCACATCCCTCAACAAGGATACTGCATCACTCAAATAAAGAAAAAGATATATTATTCTATGTACAACCACAAAAAAATAAAAAAAACCAACAATCACTTATATAACAGAAACATGCATTTGAAGTGATAAAATGAACAGTATCTTCACCTCTCCCGAAGGAAAAAGCTAAAAAATGTGAAACAGAAAACCTACTTCGGCCTGAATCGGTTGATCGGTAAAGGCACATCAAGAATTTTGTTTAAAGCATCAAGTGAAGCCTGAGTCAATAGAACAGATAAACTCAATTGAGGACTTGGGTCTACTTCAAGAAATCATTCAATATTTCTTTACTTGACCTGAGAGATCAGCATGAATGGGTAACCATCAGAAAACATGGTCTTATAGCCGTGGGCATAATTGTGATCCACGTACCTTGTCCCCAGTTCTGCAATGGTAAAAATGTACGAACACCCTGTATCAGTGAATGATGTTTCCAAATTCAAAATAAACAGAAGTTCTGAAACCTCCAATTGTATACCATTCCAGAGCGATTACAATAAGTTTTGTGATTCTCAAAGATAAAAGTAATACGTTGCATATTGATTTCTGGTTCTCTGTTCCCCCTATTACACTCACATAAGTGTGCACATCCGTGAGAGCCCAGAGTTATCATTAGCTAAATACCATCTAAGGTGAAAGTTCCAATCATATTGCTCCTATTGAAGGACAATATTAAGCAAATTTTTGGAAAAAAAGAAGAAGAGAAAATCAAATGTGCAGATGAAATACATCCCTTAAAAAAAACACAACACATTTTTCTTCATTACTCTCTTAAGCATAGAAGAATTCTATCAGCTTGAGCACATCAATATAAATTCCCGAAAGGACTTCCATACTTGGAACATCCTCATTCAGAATAACATCCAATCTGCATAGATTAAAAATTAGAACAGATACACTAGCATGTAATAGGACCAAAGGACAGTTTATTGTCAAACGCCATAAATTTTAAGTTTGGAACATGCAGTGCTTTCGATAAGTTTTTTATGAAATTGCTTCATGAGGAAGAGAGTACAAGAAGATAAAGAAAATCCTGAGTTCCAAGAGAAAAGTTTGACCAAGGTAAATTCCATTTCGGTTCTCATTTTATGTGTCTCAATTACTTTTATAGATTACAAAGACAAAATGATCAAGAGCCAAATTTCGATATTGTTGTTGATTCAGTAAAGCATTGTAAACTTATGGGGGTGTCCAAAGCTCAAGAACAATCACACTTTAACTTGAACCATGTAGGGATAGAGAAGAGCTTTAATTTTGTTCTTGTTCATCATAAGAAATCACAAGAAAGGTTCTTGTTTGAAGTTTCATCTCTAACATACAATTAAATTGGCAAGGAAATATGCTAAAGTCGGTTCGCATAGAAAAGTTTGCTTACAACACACACACAACTTTTGTCGGCACTTTCCCTTCTGTACTTGCTTCCAGTATTTAATAAGAAAAATATAACATCTATTCAACTCCAAGTTATCATTGACTGAAGCATTAAAAGACATCTACAACAAGAAGGTTGCACCATGAATGCCATGTCTCTCTGGATATACAATCCTACTATTTCCAGATTGAATCATGTACTGACTGCATTTCTTCGCAAGCGAGATCTTATTTGTGTGACCTTCTGACCTTGCTTTCATTGGTTATATAGTGATCCCTTATGGTTAGATGAGAAAGTAGATCATACACTAATGGCATGTGGTGCCCGGTACACCAAAGGAAAATCCGCAGTTTGTGCCTGATGGCAGATGGTGAATACTAACAATAGTTCTTCTAATTAAATATAATTACCTGGGAATGGTAAATCTACACATCCAATCATCAGGAACGAGCAGTGGATGCCCCGTATACCATTTTTGTGCTGTATACTTTATGTTATGACATTACACAAGATAACGCAATTTCTTATCTTATATAAATATACGGAAACTAGATTCCAGAATATAAATGTTTGTTTGCGACTTGGTTTTGGGGTGTTGTCTATAATGGTACCTTCATCACAAGAGGTCAAATCTCTCTCTCTATATATATCTGTGTGTGTCTGTGTGTGTGTGTGTAGATGCATGCAGACACACATATACGAAGGAAAAGTTACAGCAAATATATGCATTTAAAATGCATCATCATAAGTATCTAGAATTATTCAATTATCCAATCAATGCATGTTAATGGAAAGAGAGTAGGATGCACTACTTTAGTTATGCACTGGTGGATCCTAATCTTTCCCCATTACTGTCCATCCATTGATTGGACAGTGATGACAGAAATGACCATAAACTTACTATGGTCATATTTCTACGGTCATATGACCATACTACAATTTACCATATACAGAACTATTAAATGCTTACAAAAATGCATGCTTCTGATGCCTTGGAGTAAAGAGAAATCAATCCACGTTCATATCATAATTACATCTGATCCACGGTAATTAAATAGAAAAATTGAGAATAGTTACTATAAAATAGCAAAATACGCATACCGTAGCACAAAGGAAAACATAAAATCAGGTTAATGAAATGTTACTTTTCAACAACAATGTGTAAGGAGCCCTTGCCTGTGTTAAACCGCACTAACTGACTTGGTTTCTCGAGGTACTTGGAAAACCAATTTGAGGCTTCAGGTCCTTCATCCAAGCCAGGGCCAGACCACTCCCATATGGAGACACCATCAATTTTTTTACAATTTTTATTCAAAGAAACCTTTAGTGTTTCCATCCCAGGAGCCTTCAATACTACAAAAAAAACGTGTATCAATCAGCACAAATAAAATGGAAGAGTCCAAGCAAAAAAAGTGAAATATTGAAGAACTTATGAAATAACAAAACAAGCAAAAGATATATGGTTGTCAGAAGACCATGCTTGTATGTCATAGACACTGCTCTGATAAAATAAAGTGAACCGCCGCCTATCAAACTTCAGAAACTCTTGGAGGCTGAAATTACAGATAATCAAGCATGTGCGGATCCGAGGTAATAAAAGAATTCTATGCTTATAACTAAAGAAGAAATTACCTATTTTTTGGTAACTTGGAAAATCCTTAAATAGTTTTTTAGAGAAAATTCATTAAATTAATATTTTATTGCATTTAATTAATTAATCTATTAATGAAATAGATAGTTTTTAAAGCATTTAATTGATAAACTAAAATTTTAAAATGAATAACCCCTTGCTTGTTCTTTGGTGATGGTTCGAGGTAAAAAATATCCCTATACTAAAGATGTTGGAGTTTAGAATACCGTGACAATTTTCAGTGCCTTAGTATATCTTTAGATTCACTGATTTTCTATCCCCCTATATCCATTCTTAAATCTATTAGTATAATATATTAGTGAAAAACATCATAAAACGTTCAGCATAATAATGCCTGTCATGCCGTTAAATGTTCCCTAAACCTTGTCATGGCGAAGCTTGAAAGGTGCTAACAACCTTCTTCTCAGGGACAGACTATTCCTTGTAATCAGTATTAGCTCAATGGATTTCCACACGACCTCCCATATTCCTTTCTGATAATGAAGAGGAAGGCATCAAAAAGAAGTCAAACTTGATTCTCAGTGTAACTTTTGAAGCACGTACAAACATGATCAGCTCCTTGTTAGTAGAAAAAACTGCCCTTACATCCATCACAAGGCTTGCTGAAGTTATAAATTATCATGACCTTTCTACAAACCGCTTCCAAATTTGTTAACAATAGAGTGGAAGGTACCAAAAAGAACAAGCTAATTTTCAAGTCCAAAAGAATGAACAAGGTTGACGAACTCCTAGTTGGTTGAATAAATGGCATCCTCTCCTAGCTTGCTTATTTAAGTCTTAGATCTCTCCTCCATCAAACAGGCATGAGATGCACTATACACCATCAGTGGAGTTCTAAAGCATGATAACTGGGGTCTCAACCCATTATCTTTATTTGGAAAAACTCAAAGGCCTAGGCAATCACCTCGCAGCCTTTCTTCAATAAATAGGTTGCTAATCTCCCCACTCCTCTATATGCAATGTTTGGTGATCTAAATATGCCATGTCTCATTTACCAGTGATCAGGGAACTAAAACAAGAATGCCCTTCTTTTGAATATGTTAGATGTGCTGGAATTTGATGCTTGTGAAACATTTGTGGAAAAGATTGAAATAATGGAAGTGACCTTGGCTGAATTGTTACATTCTTGAGGTACCTTGTGTAATGATTCCAAAAACTAGTACAAGTGGAGCATAAAACAAGAACCCATCAAGATGGATGAAAACCCTGAGGTCCTTTATGTTTTATACACATCAAAGAATGAAAACAATCCCTTGGGCCTATACAGGTTGATGGTGTGCCCTTAGCACTAAATAATGGTGCAAACCGGTAATGTACAGGTTGTGATAGTCACCTCCATTAGAAATGCATGGTTGATTACGATAAACATGCACATGCACAACCACAATTTATGGACGTGGAATGGAAAATCTTCAATAGCACCTAAAATAAAAGCCGAAACTTGCTGGCTCTTGACACATTGCATCAAATTGTGGGATTGAGGTTATCATAAGGATATTGTCCGGAGATTTACCCAAAAAGAGGATATTGTTCAGAGTCAACAACCATAGAAACCAGAGGACCTAACATGTATTAGAAATTTTTATCGTTTACAGACATCCAGTGAATTATTAGATAATTCATTTCCATTTTTTCTGAACAAATTTATCATATCCATATACAATTGATTTATAATCATTACTCTGAATTAGCCAATAAGAGAATCCAGAGAAAATGTTGCCTTTAATTGCATTATTGGGAAGAGAAAATCCATGTGTGTGTGTGTGTGAAAGAGAGAGATGCTATGTCGTTTCCCATTATATAAAAACACTCAAGTCAAAAAGCCTGTAGGTGAAGATCTATAACATATACAGATCTAATGTGCTAAAAATTCATGATGATACAACATTTTTAAAAAAAAGTGATCTGCTAATCAGTATACAAAAACATATCTTGTCAAGGAAATCCTTAGTGCAAAATTTATTACAGCCAGAATGCTTCACCTAAATAGGATTCATCCGTGGGATTCCAGTCCTCGGTAAATGCCTCTTTTGGCAAATCAACCTCAACTAATGCAAGCTTCGGCTCAACTCTTTGCGTGTATGCTCGGCCTTTTGAGTTTACAACCATCCATTGCCTGTCCCAACGAAACCCTACCACGGAATAACAAGAAAAGGAGAAAAGAAATTAGATTAATAGAGACATATTACCCTTTGTCATTTGTACCTGCAATCAATCAATTTTTAATCGTTGCCCACATTCGATTTTAAGTTTAAATCATTTTATTGAACAAGCAGTGCATCTATGGATGATCTAAGGCTTGTGATGGTTGAATCTACACAGTTGTATCAGCCTAATACATCTCCTATAATACTATGATAGCGTTTAGTACTAACTGCATATATAAACCAATACAGTGCTATAAAATATCAAACTTAGAACAAAATGAAGTGCAGAATTCCAATTGCTTGTGCCGTCTACTGTGCAAAAGATGAAAGGACTGTGTAATCCCCGATTTCACAAAAGTTATTCTGATTCCCCTGTAAAACCTTTTGTTAAGGTCAAGCAAAGAAATGCACCGAAAAGATGAGTTCGAAGCTGATTTTTACAGCAACAACGATGCGGATTTCATGAAAAATGAATGGCTGACATGCAAGCTTTCATTGAAATATCACGAAATTATTTTCGGAAAGGCAGACCAGAGGACCATATCTGTTTCTCCTAAAATTTAAAACGTTTTATGATCTAGAGGAACAGGAAACAATCAAACAATTGAAGAATAACTTGAAACTACAGCCAAGGAAGTGAAACTCAACAAGAAAGAGAAAACAAAGGAATCCCACCTCCAAAGCATCGGTATTCAGTTGCAGAAACAGTTACAGAGAACTTCAAAGTTCAAATTATGCGAATATTGTACTTGAAAATTTTGAATTGACATGAACACCATAGTTCTGGTTGGAGATGCTAGTATTTCACCATTCCTCAATGAAATAGAATTAAAAAATTAAGAAAATTTAGGAAACCGTGTAATTTATAAGATATGAAGGCTCTCTGAGTCAATAAAAGATCGAGAGAGAAAGACCTGTGGGGGTGATGGAGCATTGAGGCAGGGAAATGCCTCGGCATGACTTAATGGGATAAACGAAGATCTCACTGATTCTGGCGTCTGCTGCACCCAAGACCACCATGGAAGCAGCTGCGTGCTAACTTTCTCTCTCTACGCGCACAGTTTCTCTCTCTAGCAAACTCTCTCAACAGAGTCAGTCTCCCTCTCCAAAAGTGAAGCAACAGGTGGTGAGCTTGGCTCTTATACAAAAGATATTCTTCCCGCGAATTCTCTCTCTGCCATGCGGACTTCAGATTTGCGCACAAATAGACGGTTCCGGGTATGGGTCCTCGACCCGCGGGTCGGGTCGGGTCGGGTCTGGATCTAAAACTTTGACCTAAATATTATTCGGGTTTGGGCTAAGGTCTAGGTTCGGTTGGATACCACCCATACTCGACCCATACTTCAAGTCATATTTATTTATGTGTATTAAGGAACATATACAATAAAAATTCGTAATCATATTTAGCTATTAAACGATAAATCAAATGACTTGAAATCTAATGATAAGTGATTGTGGCATTCTTGTCAATAATATGGGTATATGATATTAAAAAAATGACAAAAACTTTTTTTTTTATAGTGGGTGGCAATGGACCTAACTAGACTCGGGATACGATGGGATAGACTAAGACATGAGAAACGATGAGGCACTGGAATGGGTCCAACTTTTGAACATAATGGATCGGGTCCAAGTTTAAAGCCTTGATCCAAATGCATTCGGGTCTGATCCACATCTAGCTCATACCCGACCCATTGCTACCCCTACTTACATTCGCTTAAAGACGTTGCGTGGTACAACTGTACAGGTAAGTCTTATGTTACTTTTCCTTCGTTATATGTTTTTGATTAATTTCTGGGTTTATAACAAAATATTTTAGATGGACTACTATTTTATATGTTTGGATTTTTGTTAGTTGTAATCCTATACCTAGTTCTTATTTATAACAACAAACATATAATTCGGGTTATTCTTTTCACAACGTGGCGGTGCATATTATGAACCTGTTTACTTCCTTGTACGTGGCGGTGTATATTATAACCACTACTCATGAAATGCGAAATCATACGATTTGGAGTGCGTCATAAAGTTTGAGTTTCTTTGGAAATTTGTGCTTGGTCAAGGGGATACCTCCAGCCGTCCAATTTCTCATCCAATGGCCATGCGTCATTTTGACTAATGGTTTTATTGTATAATTTTCCTATCTTAACCATGAAAAATTGTTTCAAGCGGTGTGAACTGCATTTCTGCATATGCGGTCATCAAGGTATAAAACGTCTATCTTAACGATGGATGCAAATAAGTGATCCATTTAAAAATAATTGAAATTAATGGTTCAAATGTTTTTTTAATAGAATTATAATTTTTAATTTTCAAATTTTATTTATTTTTCATATTCATGATTTCCATATTATAGATTACATGTAATTAAAAATTTTGTCCAAAAATCCATCTAAAAAATATATTTTTTAGAGGTGACTCATTCCTACATGGATTCATAGAAACCGTGTCCCTTAAGCATTAGCGTTGTTGCTTCGTAGTGTACTCCTAATAAGATCATTATATGTTGAGTGTGGTTGTTATAAGGTTGCAACCTTAAACAATCCAATTTAGGCGCACCTCTAAAATTTATCATAACATACAATTTCGGTGTAAAATTCTTTTTGGATTATCTGAAAATCTATTTTTATATCTAATTATAAAATTATAAACTAAAAAAATAATTAAAATCAAGTAGATCTATACACAAATGAAAATCTGGAAAATGAACGGTCTAGATAATATGTTGCATGATACACTATTTTTCGGACTTTGGGACTCCAAACTTTTTTTTTTTTTTTCTCATATTCATATCTCGATATCGAGATGATCCATTAGAGGGTTTTTGAACATTAAAACAACCTTTTCCGATTGATTTTTGAAGTTCATCTTAAATTCTATATTTTATGGGTTGTAGCCTTAGCGATAGTAGCAATGAGCCTTATGATGAAGTCTCTGATTCCATTCTCACCAAAAGATAGGGTCTCAAATCCCCACCGACTCATCTTCTTTTTTTACTTACTCAAAAGAAAGGTTGCAACCTTGTATAAACTTTTTCCTTACATGTTTCGTCTAATGACAGGAAAGAAAGCAAGTCTATAGAAATTTTGGATAAATAATTTGCAACCCTAATGCTATAAAGTCATGAAATAAAACTATTACTCAATAACTTTATTATATAGATGCAAATTGTAACTATTTTATGTCAACAAATTATTATTATTTGCTTATTGTTAACCCAATTGAGTTATTTCACATTATTTTTTAAGTCGAACCGAAATATTCATGATATTTTAGATGCCTATCTTTGAAAATCCTAATTTTTACCCATTACTTTTTGGCTCCGATGTTTTAGATTAAAACCGAGTCACTGTTGACTTACGATTACCTTAAATATTTTGTTATTTCCTGACTTGGGTACCACAACGTCATTGTATTTCTCGCTTTTAGCAATTGGTCTTCCTACAAATAACCTGGCAGTTCTTTTGCTTTTTGTGAAGAACAGCAGGTTGAGCGGCACATTCTACTCACTGCTGACGTTGGATAATTGAGGAGTTTTGCATTTTGTGTGAACAAAGATGCAATAATTTTTATCTTTTTTTTTATTTTTTTAAAGTAAGTATTTGCCTTTTGGCAAAAGGACTGAAGTCGTAGCGGTAGCATCCTCCATACCTGAGCTGCAAGTTGTGCCTTTTATTTCTATTGACACATTAGAAAACCACTACTAGTTCAAAAGGGATTGTCTACAAAAAGACCACTTATCTTTTGTACATGGTCACTATCCCTTTTGAAATTACGATTTTCTATTTTGTTTTAATTTAGGTTAATCTATAACTTGAAGAGGTTACATCCCAAAACTTAAGGCCTGTATAATTAATCTTACATGGGGTTTTACCCGATGGAGTAAATAGACAGTATACTCCTTTTGGAGTATAATATCTATCGGTAATAGATTTTTTTTCTTTTGATCATTGTGATACAACCATGCCGTGTACAATATGATACATCTTAATCATCCATTTCAAATTGGGTTGATCCTCCATTTGATCACTTCGATCTTGAGATCAAGATCCATGGATGTGAAAAAAAAAAGTTTTAAGTTGTGAAAATGGTGTATCTTTTATCTATTTATTTTCAAGATTTTCAAATGTTTGTAGATCTACTCAATGAATGCTATTGCGCAAAGAATATCAACCATTGCTACTTTTTCACTTTTGTCGTTTCTCTTTTTTCTGACCTTTATGGAATTTGATGAGTAAATCAGTGCTTGGGACCGCTAAATTTTCCTTCCCATGGCATCTGATTCCAATGACTCTCAACACTTTTTAAATAAAAAAGTAGATGAAACAAGATAGGATGGAATCTTCCCTTCTTTTTTCGTTTGGAACCATAACCAACAATTCTCCATTGAAAGAGAAAATGGTACAAGAGAATAAGCTGGGATAGAATCCTGACCGTATATCCTTTTCATCTTGGTAAAGCTTACCCCTTTACGATGAAATAACTGTCTTTTTTCTTGCGCAAACGGCCAACTCCTAATTTAAAAGAGAAGAGGTACAAAACATATCAACGGCCAAATCCAGTTCCGTCTTCCCCGATATCGATGCAAATTAATGATCGAAATCAGAAGCCAAATTTTACAAATCATCAAGCACTAACCGATTAAACTGCGACTTGGTGCATGGCATTTACCAAAACCCCCTTTAAACCTAAAATCCTTAGAAACCCTAATCAAGCCTCCTGCACCTTTTTGGATGGGGGTTCTAGTGATCTTCATGGCTCCTAATCTTTGACAAATCCTTCTTACTAGGATTTTTAGAATGACATAGTGACTCATTTGATCTGCCTTCCAAATCATGGGCTCCTCTTGTAAGTCAATTCATACATCCTTGTATTTCCCTTTATGGAAATTTCTTTTTCCATTCCATATCTCACTTCTTTCGGGTTTAACTGGAGTCTTCTTTTTTAATCAATGTAAATAAGGTACTATGACTTATCAAGTATTTTTTGCCGGAGGTAAAAAAAAGGGTTTTTAGGGCTTTCCATGGCTTGCTCCTTTTTGTGAGATTGAACATGAATCATTGATCTTAAATGACTTGTGGGGTAAGAGATTTGAGCCATTTATTCCATAGATGAGCCATCAATATTATGGAAAGTGCTAGAACTGTTATCCCCCTTTCCTAAACTATTTTTCCATCAATAGAAATTAAATAAAATAATTCTAAATAAAATATTGTGCATTCCAAAATAATGCACAAGTCTTCTCATGCTCTCCAAAAATCCATTCAAACCTTCCTCAAGCTAATTTCGTTCCAAAATATATAGAAACTAGCCTCCCATGTCAAAAGTATCTTTTATCTCAAGATAATGCAAATTAGAAAGCTTTCAAAAGGGTGGGACGTGCTACCCATTAGGGAATCTCATGGGCCCCACCAATTAAACCATGGTAGGCCCATGTGCATAATGGGCTCCCATATAAATTTAAATATTTTAAATTTTAATAAAAAAATTTAGAATTTATTTGAATATTTAAATTACTGTAAAATCAATATCTCTGATTTCATAAATCCAAATTTGATAAATAAAATATCCATAGATTTATAAAAATTCAAATAATAATTATAAAATAATATATGATATAAAAAAAGCATAATTAAATTCATTAGTTAGGAAAAAGATCCATATGGTCTAGGAATTAAATCAATAAACATTGAGGCACTCCACCTTCAACTGTGGACTTCAAACCACACTTACTTTATCAAACCGACTCAGTGTTTCCCTTGACCCACAGTCCATGAAATGTTAATTACTTAGTTTTATGAGTAAAATCAATTTTGTGAGCACAATTGTTTTTAAAATCATAACAGTTCTAAATCTCTCTGCACTTACTGGATACTTAGCAGGGATTGAAACTCTAAATGGATCTAATTTCTCTTATTGAAAGCAAAAGATTGAGATCACTTTAGGCATTTTGGATATTGATTTAGCCTTACGTGAAGATGAACCTCCCAAGCCCAACAATGAGAGCACGAATGAACAGGAAGCTAAATATGTGAAATAGGAAAAGTCTAAATGGATGAGCCTCATGATTATGAGGGGTATATCGGTAAGACTATATGAGGTGCTATTCCTGATGAGGATAATGCTAATAGTTTCATGA